ACCCGACAACCCCGCTATGTTTGTGTTGAACTGAACTTAAATACCTTCCTTCGTCCCACTTTTTAAGTTACTTTAAAAAAATTAAAATACTATATAAATTTTATTATTCAACTACCCACCTTTCTATTGGTACATTTTAGAATTAGCTTGGTTCGCTAGTAAATAAAAATATTGTTATGGTACTGAAAAGGGAGTATAAAAGGAGTAAATGATCTTTGTATCTTATCTACTGATCTGAACAAGACTACTTAACTTTGTTAATCTGTACCGTCCACGAAAAAACCTCAAGTATTGGTTGCCGCTAATAACTTTAGATTTAAATGTAAATTTTTTTTTTAAGTGCAAACTTTTAGAAAAGTTAATACATTAACTACATAAGAGGGTGTGTTCACAATTTTTTTAATTGTTTGACATTTCTGAAATTTTTTTTTTTCATATAGTATGTTTTGATCTTTTTAAGTACTTTAAATGGTAGAGTAAAGTATTAAAACAATGTACCCCTTTCTTTCTGAATCGAGCTGTCTACAATTAGTTGTTGTATTTATTAAATCTATTATTTAGTGATTTCCATATTTGTACCTTTTGTTGATATTACTGGTATTAAGTTTTTGAAACTGGTATATTTATAAACTATTGCTTATATAATATAGTAGATTGTATATTATAGACCATAAGATATTATAATATAGAGTTGTTAAATATTCAACACCGTTACAATTTATTTGATAAATTAAAGACTCCTGGAGGGCACCACGCAACCACCATAAATGAAAGAGAGAAAAAAAAGTATGTCGTGATCGAGTCATTTCATCTATATACCTGTAACAGTTAACCCACTAGGGTTAAGTCCCCGTCTCTACACTTAAAATTTTGCTGACAGAGTTACTCCTTCGTCGAAGTTTAAATAAAAAGTAGCAGTTTTTCAATTTCTTTAATTTGTTAGCTAATGTGCATTTTTTCAGCTTAATGAGCACTAAACAAAAAGTATGATTTATAGATTGCGTGTATTTAACTTTCAAGAACCAATTTACTAGTTATAAACATGTACGTGAGTGCGCGAATTTGAGCAGCGTATAACTTTTTAAAACAACGCCCCCTCGCTCGAGAGATTACGACCGCAGAGTGTGGCGCGAAGTAATTCAAGAATGAGTTCTAGTTCTGCCTTTTACTTCGTCAGTTATAATTTATGCGCTATAGCTAAATTGTGAATACTACGCGAAGCGGAAGTTTAGAACTATCACCTAAATAAAAATTGGCACTTTGCTCCTTCCCATTACTCCTAAGCGAGCTCGCTCCTCATCTGGTGAGCGAGTGTAGCTAGCTAGCCGGACTTATAGGCCTATTACGGCTTTCCGTTGGAAGACGACGTTCAAGAAGTATGTCCGAAGATCCCGGTCAGGAACTTCCATTTCGCACCTTGTTTTGTTGTACTTGGAGTGCGGAGGCTGTGGTTGTGTAGCCGCAGGTCCTAGCAGCAGACGCGCATATGCTACTATTGACTGATTGCCCCTAGAAAGAAGGCAAATCAATATTTTAACTTACACCAAAGGGTAGTGGTTGACAGGACCCAACAGTTTTCAGTCAGCATTTTAAAACACTTTATTTAAACCAAGGAATTTTAATGTTTGTCTTTATTAGCCTTTTAACCAGAAATTATGGATCTATTACGAATTGGTCAAGTTACATTTAAAACCATATTTAAGACTTGTGGTTAATTACCTGCGTTCTAATTAAGTTGATGTCCCTCGCCTAGTTTACACTAAACAACTCACTAGTAAATACCCTTACAAGTATTTTTGTTCTATTAATAATATTTTCTGATGCTCAATCGGGTCGTAAAAAAACACCGAATTTACGAGCTCTTGGCAGGGTGATAGCATGCACAGTAGCTTTAACCTTGTGTTAAAGCCAATCATGCACACACATATATAAATGAATCTACCCTATTTTATAACATATGTTTAGAGCCCATTGCGCAGTCGACCATAGTGCACGCCATCCCAGGTTCATAATTGACATCATCGATTGGTGTGCTGATTGAGCCGTTCACAGGTGGCTATCGCATTGAGTCGAAAAACGTTACGCAGAAGTTCAATTTCGAGGTCTTAATGTAAGCAGTATTTCTAACCACGGCGCTCCTGTCATAAAGGTAAGAAACTTATTTTGTCCCACTTGAAGCGAAGAGATTATTGCCAGTAAGTCGTAGGCCCAGGCAGTAGACGGCACGTATATCATGATGGACTGGATACGCCACGCATACCAGTGCCGTGGATTGTTCAACAAGTGTCTGCTACGGGCATAAAGTAAAGGGTATAGGGTTTGAGTCACCGCCTTGACCTTCACTACCGCTTAGTTTTCATGCGTTTTGTAAGAGCTCTTATTGTCAGTTACTACCACTAGACTGGTGCAATAAGGCAGGCGACCTTGACAGACTGTGGCATGTTGCGCATACTTGCAGGACTCCGACTGTTAGTATTCTTACGGGTGGGCGTGCAATCACTCACACGTATATCCAAGACGCCGTCCTTATGATAAGATTTAAATACGTTAAAAAGAAACAGTTGAACGCAAATCATTAAATTTTCTTACATTGGAGCATACAACATCATAATACCTAATGAAAAGGAGGATAGGGGCGCATACTAGATTCCTAGCAATGGTGACCTGCTGAGGAACTTTTAAGCGATTACGGGTATAAAGCCCTTTAGTGCCTTAAATGGATTTTAATCGAATTTCGATGCAGTTACTATAAGTTACTTAACAAAATATAAAAATGCAAACTTTGAGGGACTAGTACCTCTAGTTTTTTTAGAACATTAGTTCTCCATCTCGTCATATTCCTAAGTAAATCTAACAACTATTTTTTTATCAACTCAAATTTACGGTATATATGACTGGTAAAACCCCGAAAATAAAAGGTACTTACACAGTTATATCTTTGCTTCGTTTTGTAACTTAATCATTTTTTTTTGTTACCTTCTGCTTTTAATAGAATAAAAACTTTTCGATATCGATGTAACACCTAGGATTTTATAATCTCAAATAAATTTAATTATTAGGTGACAGAGAAAAAGAGGAGGTGCGTATCTATTACATTAAGCAAATCGCTATAGAGTTTTTCAAGTTTTACGATTTCTCAGGGAAAAGTTATGAAGAAGCATTACGGTGGGCGATACAAACTATTTTATTAATAAATTTATAATTTAAATTCAGTAATTCTTAAAGTTTTTTTTTTCAACGTTTGCACTGAGTGGCGAAACACAAGAACGTTCGAGAATTTTGGAGTACTTTTTTTATTGGTATTACGAATGCAATCCTTCTGAGTTTTCGGGAACGGATGAATGTTTTTCTCTAACGTTTGCTGTACTTTATTTTTCATTTTCATTTTTCTAATTTTTGTATAGCCTATTTTAACTTAAGGTTGTTCTGTTAAACACGGATCTGCACTCTGAAGGCGTTGAAAACAAAATGAGTGTGTCTGATTTTGTAAAGAATTTTAAAACTTTACATCCTGGAGGCTCTTGGTCTGAGGAGCGACTAAAGGCGCATGCTTTTTTCCTTCGATGGAGACACTGACTTATATTTATATATATATATATAGAAAGTTTACTACAGCATCAAAAAGTGTGAGCTTAGTCATCCCCGGCACTCGCGCTTCTACAAAAATTGCTTTTGTCGCCCCGACAGCCTTGCCCACGGCGCCGCAGCTGAAACTTCTCGCTCGCTTAGCAGCAAAATAAAGACTCTTTTAAGGCAGGAAAGAGGGAAAGGGGTGCGCTTTAGCACCATCACCGGCGCTGACTACGCCACGGAACGACACGAGGCCGGAGGCGCATCGTTCCTCATTACTTGCAAAGGAGTCATTTGCCGCCCTGCAGGGATTTTGCAAAGTTAATTTTAAGTTTGTAGACTTAAGAAAAAAAGTAAATGCTCTTCTTTTTATTAGACTTATTGTTTCTCCGCTTATGAAGATATTTTTGGAAGGAACTTTTAGGCCTTTTAAAAAGTGGTTGCTATTCTAGATGACACTAAGGCCACCGTATTTAGAATATTATATACCTGAAAAATTTAAAGATAAAAGGCTTTACTACAGAATCTCAGTCTTTCTTATTATAAAACTGTATAAATTCTAAAGCATTTCTAATGAAAACATTTACAGGTGCACCACTCTTTTAGTAAAATACCTAAAGTCAATCATGCAAATCGTTTTGTGTTTTGCGGTAACGACGGAAGAGAAATTTATAAATCCTCTGAGAGCTCCGAGAAGTGCAGTGTAAGCCTACGTAAAACCACCTTGTTTGCGATATCTGTCGCCTTCTTTTGTCAAACCAACCAATTACACTAAAAAGTTGAACTGCCCATTGTTTATTTTCGCCAATGAATCCCTGTGTTACCCTTAAAAAGGGCATGGTTGCGCATAAGAACATAGCTAGTAGATATACAAAAGAAGTTCCTTCTTAGCGTTTTTCTCTACTCTGTGCGTAACTAACTTTGTCTTATGTGCATTATGCGTTAGGAGTGGCTGAACGCCATAAATAAAACAGCAGCGTATGTCTCCATGTCGCCGTTGGGTAGATCCATTGGCACGAAACCAACTACCTTCCAGCGACCGATCCTTCCGACCTCGAATAGCAAAGGAATCAGGATACGAGCAGAAAGCTCTTTTTGGGCGTTGGGATTGGGTATCTCCCTATGGACACGACAGATCTCCATGTGTAAAAGACAAATAGCTTTGATTGAAACGGAGCTTCGGGAGCTGCTGGATAGCTCTCAGAAAAATTTAGAGAAAGACTGAAAGGTTAGCTATGAAGTATTCCGGTTACATATCTCTTATTAGCCCCTTATATCTAGACGCCAAAGTTAAATACTGGATGGACAACCTTGATTATGCCCAATACGAACTCGAGGTTCCCATATAAAAATCATCGTGGCACCATTTATTAATGCACTGACAACTTTATGAAATTTACAAGAGATACCGAACGTAGTTGAAACTCCTGCACACCAATAACGGATAGTTTATTTTCTCAAAGAAAATGGCTAACAAAATTATGACTTGCCGCAGTCGTATTCTAATGACCATAATAAAAGTATACAATATAAGCAGATTGAACTTTTCAGTATTACCCTTGCAAGAGCAAGCGTTTAACAAGACCAATCATTGCCGTATCACCTCGCTGTCCTGAGCAACCACTCCGCCCATGAGACAGGTGGACTGCGGATCCCGTGACTTTTTTTTCAATACAGAGTTTAAGTAAGACGGCATTTGCAAAGACTTTTCAGAATCAGTCTAATATGAAAAGTTTGCAGCGTTAAGCAAAGTTTCAACTTTTTTTTATATACAAAAAAAGCATTAACGACGTCTTCGAGTGATGCAAATGTTTGCATTGCCGCACTGATTTGATTGACTTGATTGGCACATGCAACATCGTAATACTCTTCTCGCAGGAGCTTTAAGTTTTTTGTTTCTTTTAGCCCCTTCAAGTTGGCTACCACTGAAAATAATATGAATCGTAACTTTATTTTAATTATAAAAATAATAAAACCAACACTTTTGAAGGGCCTGCAAATCATTATTTTTTTGGGCTATTGCGGCATCCAATGAATTTATTATATCTTTTTGGCTTTGCACTACTTTACACTCCTCCTCCTTTTCCGCCAGCAACTGACCACGTTAAAGAAAAATAATAAGAAAAAAAAGTTTATCTTTTATAAAAAAAGAAATCACTTTTGTCCGTTTCTGTAGAACGTTGTTCAAGTTTTCGTTTTCCGTTAATGATATTGCAAGTTTAGATTTGCACACTCGCAACTCCCTATGAAGTTTTCCGATAATATCATTGGCCTGTTTACCACAAACCACGTGGGGAGACTTTTAAGGTCGTTGCAACGAGCACAGCACAAAATAAGCGCCACCTTTTCCACTTCTTTATTGGCAGTTAAAAGCTGCTCTTCAATTTCTTTAATGTACTTTTTTGATTTTTCTGCGCTTTTAGAGAGTTTTTCCTCCAAATTTTTTATGTCTTTTTTGTGTTTGATTTGAAGTTCGGAAACGTAGGCCTTTAGATCTTCTACTTCGTTTTCCTTCACGTTCTGAAAAAAAGCAATAATAACAATAATGTATAATGGTCAAACGAATAATCTAAATAAACCTTTTCTTTCTCTAAATCTTTGAATTTTAAATTCGCACGAGATAGAAGATCCGCGTGTTGATCATTAATTAACTTTATCTTTTCCTCCAATACTTTTTTGTATTCTTCGCTGGAAGCTTTATGCGAGTGGTACTCATCAAGAGCCTTTTTATATATAATTTGACTAAAAATTTATAGTATTAAAAAAAAAGAAACTGTTTGCAGCTTTTTTTTCAACTCATCAATCTTTTCTGATAAAAGATTTTTATCTTCCTTAAGAGTTTTTATAATACTTTGAGCTGATTTTCTCTCTTCCGACTATTGAATAACTTTTTTGAGATTTTTAGTAAAATTTAAGCATCCTTTATACCAGTTTAAGTTTAGCATCTTGAAGGCATTTATTTTCTGTTTTGCTTTTTTCTACAAATTCATCCTGAAAAAAAATTAATTTCAAATTATAAAAGCGCTAAAGTACAGCATTCATATAGCGGAAACTTCCCATCAACTGCTGCATTTTCAGCTCTTGACTTTTTTTAATTCTTTTATGTTGTTTAAATAATAAATTAAGAAAGCCTAAGAAAGTATAATCTATAAAACTATGATTAGTACACAAAAAAACGCGTGGCCTGCCGATCTGCAAAATTATAATTTGCATAATAATTTAATTTTCTTAATTAAATAATAACTAACTTTTTATAAACTTATTGTAAAATTAAAAATTTCGTGATAAATCTTTTTTCTTTTATTTGAAAATAACTTTATATTAATTTCATAATTCTTTTATACATCAATTTTACTAAACTTTTCGATCTCAATAAGTTGCCTTGACGACTCTTCACGTAGTTCTTCTAACTTTAGTCCAAGGGCTTTATTTTCTTCCTTTTGGAAAAATTCTCAATTAATTTTTTTTTAATTAACTACAAAAGTACAATTTTGTTTTTCATAACGGACAAGAGATGATCCGTTAATTCTTTATCTTTGGCCCTTTGCAACGGAAGCGATAAGTGGATCTTTATTAAAAATTAATTAAAGAAAAAATTATGCTGAGAGATAAAAAACAAAGCACAACTTTACAAGTTTTCTGAAGGAATTAATTTCAACAATATTTAGAAGCCAATTGTTTTCGGATTCTATTGGATCAGTCTTGCTTAACAAAACTATAAAACTAAAAAAATAATCACTATTTAAAATTCGTTAATTAATAGTAACGAATAAATAAAAATTTATTAAAACAGAAGTTTTTTGTTATACTAAAATCTTCATAATTATATTTTTAAAAGTAATAAAAGTTTTGAGATGTTAAATATTGTATAGTTTTTAGAGAATAAAATTCTTTATACAAAATAAAAATATACTTTGAATGCTTATCATCTTCAAGGCACTTCTTAAGAAGTTCAGTAATTTCTCTGGCAAAATTTGAAAACTCTACAAAAAGTCCTTGTTCTTCTTTTAACCTAATTAAAATAATATCTAAGATTGAAAAAATTAATAAATAAATTATTTGCAAACACTTTTTAAATGTTTCTCCATTAAGTTCGTTATAAAAATGTATCCACAAATTTTCTTTATCTGTAAAAGAAAGTTGAAGAGTCTACTTTATTATAAATAAATAGGAAACCATAATGAATTAGAATTTAATTTTTAAAATCAAATTAGTAAATATTATAGAGCATAAGACACGACCTGGGAAGTAGTCGTAGTAATCTCGCATATAAATAATCTTTTCTTATTCTAATAATATTTACGTTATATTATATATTGTAAATCTTAAAAGTAAAAAGTGTACACAATGAGTTTGAGAAATACTGTGCTGCACCGGTATTGTAATTTGCATAGTGCTTACAGTTTTTGAAGTTTTAAAGATTTTATTCAACTAAAGAGAAGGGTGTAGATGCCATGAAACAGGTTTTACAAGTAGAATAAAGTTAAGGATATGAAAAGTTAATAGCTTAGTTACTATTATTTTGTATAAGTAAAAAAATCTGCATGACAATTTGTACGTAACGCAAACTTTAGTATTTTTTTAGGAGTTTTTCTGCCCTCATAAGTGGTATATATTTATATATATTTTCCTTATGCTATGGACAGGCATTCCTATTACGTGAAGTTGGTAGCTTCTCTTACAACTTAGCATTATTTCAATTATAAAAACTCTGGTAAGTAGAAAAAAAGCTTTTTATTCTAGAAATTTTATTTAGTCTAATTAGATGTGTACAGTTGTATATGAAGGTATAGGACCAGTTGTGCTTGTACACCGCTTTTCTTGCTATAGCAGCTTTTACAAAATTAATATTTATGTTTGGTTAAAAGCAGGATATGTAAATTGGATGGAAAAAAGATTTACTTAAATACTTCGCAGGTTTAAATATATAAACAAGCTGCGAAAATATATCGTTAAATTCTGTTATCTTTCGGCACTTTTAATTAAATTTGCAAGAGAGTAATATTAACCCTACTACCGGCATAACCCTGGAAGCTTACTTTCAAGCAAAATCTTATTATATACAACTATAAAATAATTTATTTTAAAAAAATAAAAAATATTTATTGTTTGATATATAAAAAATTTATTATTTGCTCAAAAATCTTTAAAATATATTTTTAGAATGTTAAACAAACTTTCGATATCAGATTAATGGCGCGTGCATCCAAAGTTAAGATTATTTCGTAAATGTATATAAGCTCCGCTCAAAGGTGAGGGGCAGCCCTTTTTGCTTTGGTCTCCGGGTCAGCCGCTGTCCTACTTAATTAAAGCATCTCGTTTTGTACCTTTTTTTTATTAGTAAGGTTTGTGATAGTAAACTCAGCAACACGCTCTTTGGCTAAGGACTTAAGTAATATATAACCAACGGAGCAACAACTATATTTTTTGCCGAATAGGCTTTAAGAATTGATATAAAACTAGAAGTCCAAAAAATGTGAATTACAGAAAACGAAGATTTGATTGGAGAGTTACTGAGATGCCTTCTTTAAAGAAATAGCATGGAATTGGGAGATATTGAAACTTTTGCTGGTTATAACATTACTTGCTTCAATATAATAAAGAAGAAGAAAAAGAGCAAGTTAGGGACTACCTGTCCAAAGCAGAAGAGTGGTATGGACCTTTGAGCTTCAAGGGATGTGAACTTCATTTCACAAATAATTTGTAAAAGAAAATTATGACAAGAACGATATATAAACAAAGGAAGGTGGTAAGTTATAAGTGCAAAAAGATTGGTCATCTGGCCAACCCTTGTTAATGTAATAATAGCTTTACAAACCCTTTCGCTTTTGTAATAAATTAAGGTTCATAATATACACAGAAACGAAAGTCATCGTATGAATAATGATAATTTTAAAAAGGAATAATAGGCTACTTCACATTCAGAAATTTGTTAGATGGCGCGGAGGAGAATTTAATTAGTGTATCCAATGTGAAGTCCTGGATGAACTAAATTAACATAAATATATTGCGTTACATCTTTTTTGAAGGAAATCGATTCAGAACACTTGGTTTACTCTTTAAAGAAGTGGAAATATAGGGCATTAACCAACATTTAGACATTTGTATCGTTGATCACATCCTACCTAATAATATCAACTTAGCATTGGTAGCGGAAGATTCAAGAAAGTTTGGTGGTAAACTAGTGAACATATCCCTTTACCATTTAAATGAAAACGAATATAGATTACAAAAAATTAAGTTTTCTAAACAACCAGATGAAATTATTATTGCAGAGCTTGGATGAAGTGAAAACAATCATGTGTTGTGAACGGTCAAAAATATTGTTAAAAACATAAAACTTGGAGGTGAAGTTTTACTACGAAGATGATTTGAAGTTAGCTATTAAGTTGTATAATCTTCGTCGGAACTCCGATAAAAGAAGTGTTATGAAACTTGGACTACTTTAAATAAAACTAAAAGAAAATTACAAGCCTGTATGGCGTAAATACGAAATAAAAGATTTGAACGTAATATGAAGGTAATTTTAAGAGGGTGGACACTTATTAAAGATAAGTACGCTGGAACTAACAATGATTGGGATTGGAATCCTAGGCAGGTAGTATTAGAAAAAACTTGAGATAGGATGGATGGCAGCTTCTCAGGTATATGGGCCTACCAAATAAATCTGAGGTGTGCGATGCACTTAAAGGTATGAACGCACAGTGCATCATAGTAAGGTATAAAATTACTAAAGAAAAACTTAACTTTATTATTTGTTGATTTCACAGGCTGATAGCTTCGAGAACTAGTATGTTATTAAATAATAAAGATCGTTTTAGACCAAACTATTTCCGCAAGATATTTTGTAGTAATATAAAAGCAACCTTTACTAGCCTAAATTATTAATATTAACCATGAGCAAGTCCGGCTAACTGAGACCGTTAATAATTATATTTTAAATTCAATAATTATCTGTTAAGATACTAGAAATTCAAAGTGGGTAGCAAATGTCTTTGCGGAATTAAAACTCGAGTTACTTCAACTTTATTCTCGTTTTCATTAGATATTTTTCTCAGTTAGGAAACTTGCCTATTATAGAAGGTAACAATTCAAAAGTATCCTATTACACTACTTATAAAAGGCATCCAGACCACGAAGCTAACTATAAGTAACCTCTAAAGCTTTAAAGCTGTTGGGAAAGACGCACTTTACTACAAAAAAGTGAAGGTGCATCGGGGCTGTCTGCCTCTCTAAACCTTATGCTTTGAAAAAAATTTTAATAAATTAAAAGGAGTATCTAAAAAATATATTTAGCTCTCAAATACAAGCACACCCTTGAATGAACCCCTATGCGAAAAAAAAAAGACAAAGAACTTTTAGTTATGTGACCAACTTCAACTGGTATTCCTGTTTTAAGGCCAGGGAATTCAACTCTACAGTACTCCTGGTGCATTACAGTAGTTAAAATTATATCTTTGTATTACTATATTAAAAGTTCTTTCAAGGGCCTGGAGCATAATGAACGGGGACGCACAGTTTTCCTTGAAGCTCAGGCCCCCTTATGCTAAAAAGTAAACGACCATCTTAAGGGGACAAGACATTTTTGTGAACTTTTCAATATTACTGAAAATATTAAATTTATTTGTCATAGTCGGATATTTATGTTGCATTCTACTAACTATAAGCTGTTTCAACTCTAAGCCCTCAAAGCCTTTTAACCCAGATAAATGATAAAAAGAAGACACCGCTAAACCTCATACTATTAAAAGACAGGCTTTTTAATACACAAAAAAAGCCTCAATCCAAAGAAAGAACTGACCGAACTTAATAAGAAACTTTAAGAATGAATGATGCCTTGGCTAAATCCGGGGGCTTGCCGCTATGGAATTTCTAAGGTATTTAAATCCTTCCCACAAATTATTAGTTATACCACCAGAATTTAATGAAAGCAACGCTTATTTGCTAAAGGTAAATCTAAACGTCTTTGCAAAATGCTTTTCTAGTCCTCTGAGGCTTTTACTACAATTTAAGAAAAGGGGCGCTTCTTAGAGTTCCATTTGACTTCATTATACCAGCTGCGAAGTATTTACAAATATAACTGACACTGTGAGACCAGATAGTATATATAATCTTTCGCTTAAACATTTTACTACTAACGCTACTGCATTAACAAGCGAGCCCTCTAACTTGATATTAACTACATTCGACTTTCCTAAACGTTAAAAGTTAGC